GCATAGAAGGACGTTATAAATGTGTTGGAACACCCTTTAGATATATGCATGATTTGTACAACACTATTATTCCATCTTCCAAATTAGGAATATTTTTTCTTTACGGTTGTGACTTATCAATCACATTCTTTGTAGAAGAAATAAATCATAAATGCCTATTTTTTCCGTTTAAAAATGGATATGCTGCATTTCCAATTCAGCATCAACAAGGAAATAATTAATCTCATAAGATTTTATGTATATTAGTTTTACATAGTATTTTTCCACATGTCCTTACATGAATAGACAGTTGCATTTCTATACACACTTTCAGGACATAGACTGCAAAAGAAATATTTTATTTTAATTTTAATTGCGTGGAGAACTTTTTTCAAGCATTACTAAAAATTTTAATGTATAACAGATAATAACTTGTAACTTGAATGTAAATAAATAAAAATAATAGTAGATGAATTGTTAAAAATTATAATTAAAACATTTTTAATTTTATTTTTATAAATATTAATTTTGAATATATTTTCTCAATATATCCCAAAGATATTGAATAAAACAGGATATAAGTTCCATTGGCTGCAATGAGTGCTTATGCAGTGGTGCAATTTTTGAAGGGAACGCAGAAGGAATGTGCAATTATTCCTCTTATCTGGTTAACAGATAATAATTCAATCTGTTACTGGCCAAATACTAAATTTGAAATCAAATTTCAAGCATTAGTAAAATCTAATGCAGTCTATGAATCTTCATGGAAAAAATTTGATGTTAATGCTGTTCTACATACAACTGGTATATTAAACATATATTCTTAAAATTTATTATAAACTTACTGTACGTAAAATTATCTTTAAGTGTATCTGTGCTATAATATTAATTTATCTGAATGTTTAGATGATTATGACGCGGCTGAGCAATTTATGCATAATTATATCGAACAAATCACTTCATCAGATAATTCAACAAATAAAACAAACAAAATATTGAAAAAAATAATATAGTTGAATCTAAAAGTGATGAATCAGAGAATAGCGATTCGAGTACCACTTCGCCAACTACAAAACGTAAGAAGAAACATAAAGATTCGAAAATGTCATCTGAAAAACGAAAGAGAATTGTGAGAAAATCGATTTCAGCCTCAAGTATTGATTCAGAAGATACAGAAAATACAGAAGATTCTTCAACAAGTGAAAATTCAAATAAAAATAATATGGATACTGAGAAGATAAAGAAAATAAAAAAGTGCACCTTCACAAAAAAAGAAAAGAACACAGATTTTTTGCACAGAAAAATTAAAGAGAATACACATCAAAGTCAATTAATACGTCTAACAAATGTGCAATCTTCACTGCAACAAAAACTTGCTGTCCCTACTATTAAATCTATTCAATCTGTTAGTGGAGTAAAATTTGCAAAACAATCATCTGCAAGATTTGGATATGAAAATATTGAGGAGACTTCGTCATCAAGTACTGTGGAAATAAATAAAATAGATCAGGAGTATCAGCCTATTGCCGAGACGTCTAGTCCTCGTTTTATTATCAAAATATCTCGCACAAATTTTGGACTATTGCCTGAAATTGAATTTCAGCGCATTGTTTTATCATACTTACAAAGTATAGAGATTATGTACGAACAAGTTCTATCAACAATGAATACGTTAGTAAGACATATGAATTCAGGAATGACAACATGGACGAAGCCTGAAGGGCTACTTAAACTTCTTCTATCAACCATGGAACAATTTGAGGAAATGGAGAAATTATTAGAAGTTGAAGAAAACTTCAATTATTATGTAAGCATAAATAAATATTAAAGCATAAATAAATTATAAAGTTAAAGATTTTATTTTAGGATACATTATTATCAATGGTCTTCTTATAATATACACCCACACACACGTTATCCGAGGAACGTCCAGAAAATGTCCTTTATATCCTAAGAACGTCTTTAGGATGTACAGAACGTTCTCTGGACGTCCTTCGGATAAAATGTGCTGTACGGGCACATGTCCTTCATTATGAATTTTAATTCTTGTACATTTTTTTTCTCATCAGCGTAAAAGACTTACGTCAATTGGTGGAGAAAATCAACGTTCTAGTGTGATGAACATGTTACGATTTCTGTTAACTAATGAATTAGCAACTCACTTTAATTGGGCTGGACGGAAAAAGATATCCTTTAAAGAGAAAAAACTCATGGATGTTATCCATGGTACATGTAACGTACAATAATAAAAATATTAATATTATTAATAACTTTATTAGTAATATCAAACATATTGAAGTAGAGGCCGTATACAAACCAACACGGATGATAGTGTGTAATAATTTTTTTACAATATCCGTGTTGACTCGTGTACAGCCTTTACTTTAATATGTTTGATATATTCTAGTGAGCCTATTTCTGTAAATTATTTTATTAGTGATACTTTTCTTTGATCTAAGTAAAGAAACTATTTAAATATATTTGAATTTAACTTGAAGAAATTGAGGGTCGTATAATGAATAATCATAAATGACCAATAATGTCTTTGCGAGCCGACACGGATGTTGATGCGTAATAATTTTTACTGTTTCAATATTAAGCCATATACAAACTGTGCGTTGCATAAACTGTCGGTCTTGAAACACAGTTCTTACACGAGGCTTTAATTCGTTACAGTGGATTCTGGCCTCATGTCAGAATGTATTTCAAAACCGACAGTTTATGCAGCGCACAGTTTGTATGTGGCTTGATATTGAAACAGTAAAAATTATTACACACCAACATCCATGTCGGCTCACAAAAGCATTATTGGTTATTTATGATTAAATATATTTATTATTTTTTTAGAAAGTGCTAGACTTGCTTTCAATAACATAACTGGGTCAGCCACGGGAGATAAAGTGATTGAAAATGCTGTAAAAAGACTGGCTAAAGTTAGCAAATAACCGACTAAGCTATTCCATAACTAAAAAAACTGCTCATACAGCACAGTCAGACAAGGAGCCTAATAATAATGTTCAGGAGACATCTACATCTTAAGTATATAATATTCAGTGTATAGTATGGACGAATAATTTTTAATTCTTTTATTATATTAATTATTTTATAGTTTTAAAATTACGTATATTTTAATCCACTTAAAAAACTAATAACCATTTCTTTTTTAATTAAATTGAAACTTTGTGTATGATTTATTGTGTCATTTTATAATATTCTTATAATAAATTATATAAAAATTAGAAGCTTTTATTTATGTAGTTTTTTATTGTTTACACACACACTCACACACACACACACACACACACACATACAAACATACACACGTATACGAGCCATTTATTTAAAAAATAGTGTATAAGTTGTTTCTTGTTTCTTTTTAATTATGTTAGAAACAAAATCGTGAATTTACTAAATCTAATTTGTGATCATAGCACAACATATCACAACAGATTTTTTTCAAATTTAAACTTACACCACTATTAAAATAAAAAGTATTATTATATACACATATATCTTATATTTTATGAGACGCGCGCGCGCGCGCGCGTGTGTGTGTGTGTGTGTGTGTGTGTGTGTATGTGTATGTATGTGTTCTATATATGAACAGGTTTATAAATATGTATGTATTGATAAATATATATAATCGGTAAACATGTCTGCAGCCTAACTACTTTATATAATAATTTAAAAACCGTTAATAAACGTAATGTTAGCTTATGTTTATATTACGTTTAGGAATACTTCAGTAAATATGTTTATAATAACTTCATGTTATATGAACAATTCATAAACGTAATATAAACATAAACTATTAAC